TATTATGTTCTTTTCGAAGTTAATTTTGGTTTCACTTTAACAGAAACTCTCATAGCCAAAAAAAAAAACATCCAACTCAAAAGTTTATAATATCATGAAGACTTACGTAACCACAGAGGAGTGGCCAAACATCATCTATGGTTAGATATTTTACCTCTGACAACAAGCAAGGTCGTAAAAACACTAATACATAATACACGAAGCTCAGTTTCAATAAACGGGATATTTTAAGAAATTACATTTTGTATCTTCTTTAATTATATTTGTCTTGAACTTCTTAGAAAAAATTTTTTCTTCTGTTTTTTTTTTCTTTCGGTACAGCCAACGCTAAGATGTTGCTATCCTCATACTTTGGTTTTGGACAGGATAAATTAAGTGTCAATTTCTACCAGTTCACATTGAATGAAACGGCGATAGAAATATCTGTTGTGAAGGAAAGCTGTGTGCCAGTAACCCAGCATGTAGAGACAAAGGCTGCAGTTGGCGAAATGCATTACATAGGGGTTGCGGAAGGAATTAGTAATAGAAAAGTCTTCGACATTCCATTATCCTGTCAGAATCAAACACAGTCTTCAGCGGTGAGTGTGTTAGCTGGATCTACATTATGGTTATTTGTGTTTTCATTGTTTTCACAAACCTTTAATCTTGGACAAAAGAAAGAAAAACATATTAATGTCTCTAAAGTGTTCTCTGGGCAACAAAGTTCAACGTTATTTTTTAAAATCCTATTTCGACCACTTGGAACAAAAAAAAAAACAATAAAATACAGAGCAGAAAATAAGTATAAAATTAATTGCGTTACGGGTGCACGTTAAAACTGCGATCAGTTTTACCATAAGTTTTACCACAGCATGAAATAATGACAACATCTGGAAATGCTAAAACTATTCGGAGTTGCTAATTACAAATCAATACAACCGTTAGTTTAAACCTGTTAAATATCTTGGAGAGAACGATTTGTGCGGAAAATTCAGAGCGACATTTTCGTCTCTAAAAATTCCCTGATTAAAATATAACTATATGGCATGCAAATGCAACGATTTAATCATTCCATATAACCCATAATATAGGTTGATAAAAGTAAATACGTATACAGAAAAGTACTTCGGGCGCCCCAAATCTATTAAGTGTCAGTTTTTTTTTAATATCACTGGATAGATACCGCTGCTGGTGGACTGCTAGTCTCCGAGAATATCTTCATCTCAGTAGTTAGTGCTTCGGTACTTACATCATGATTAATAACAATAATTTCATTTTTGTTGATTTCTGTGTTGATAAATTTAGAAATTATTTACAAACCAAGGTTTCAACTCCTTCAGTCTACGTGATCTTTGATGCCACTGTTGCTATTCTTTGTAGATCCTTTTTGGTCATATATATTTCCTTATGTTATCAGGTATTTATACATCCGTGACTCTATTTTTTATACCCCTGCCGTAGTCAAAGGGGGGCATTAAGTATTAGACTTGACCGTCCGTCCTTCCGTCCGTCCAATTTTCGTTTCCGCACTCTAACTTTAGTTTTCCTCGTCCAAATTTTATGGAACTCATACACAATACCAGAACAAGAACGCACAGACAGATTTTGAATGTGGGCAGTGAGTCACTTACTGTTCTAGAGTTATGTCTCTTTATAACTTGGAATATTGCAAATTTGTTCGTTTCCGCACTCTTACTTAAGTTTTCCTCATCCATATTTTATGAAACTCATACACAATGATTAAAATCACAACACGCAGTCAGAGTCCGAATTTTGGCAGTGAGGCACTTCTCGTTCTAGAGTTATGCACCTTTATAACTTGGAAAATAACATTTTTTTTTCATTGCCGCACTCTAACTTAAGTTTGCCTCATCCATGTTTTATGAAACTCATACATAATGCTAAGAATCACAACACGCAGACAGAGTATGCATTTTGGCAGTATATCATGTACCGTTCTAGAGTTCTAAAGCTGAAGCCCGCCTCCGTGTTCGGGATTTTTTCGCTGCGTTGAAGACCCATCGGTGGCCTTGGGGTGATATATGCTCTTTGATCGGGTTATTGGCCCTTTGACACATTCCCCGTTTCCATTCTCAATTATATTATGCACCTTTTTAACTTGGAAAATTGCAAAGCTTGAGAAGGGGCATTCGTGTCCTCAGACCTTTCTTCTTTTATTTTAGTTTGAGCGTTCCTGGTGATTGCAAATAAAAGTAAAGAAGAATATGTCCATGTGCTTGTACATGTAAAAATGTAAGAGTCAATGTACTAACTCAAACCTTTGAGCGTAAAAATGAAACGTTTGGTCAGTGCATACAAAAGTTAGAGTGCGGATAAAAGAATTGTTTTCGGTTTTAAAGAGGCATAACTCCAAAAATAGTAAAAGTGAGGGAGTGCGAAAAAAACAGAAAATTTGGCAATTTTCCATTTATAAAGGGGCATATCACAAGAACGGTTTGATTGACACCATACAAATTCGAACTTGATCTGTGTTTGTTGGTAATAAGCATTGTGTATAAGTTTCATATTATTTGGTCGAGGCAAAGTGAAGTTAGAAAGTTGAAACAGCAAATTCAGTAACTTTTCCATATTTATAAGGGGACATATTTATAAGGAGACATGATATATAACTAAAGAACGTTGGAATGGACACCATCCAAAGACGAACTTGATCTGTGTTTTGTGATAATGATTATGGTATATAAGTTTCAGAACATTTGGTTGTGGTAAAGTTAGAGAACGGAAACCAATTTCGGGACGTACGGACAAACGGACGAACGTACGGACGGACATACAGACGAATAAAGGAAAAAATTAATGCCCCTCCGCATTCTTTTGAGGAGAAAACCCACGTACATTTCACATATAACTGCTATGTATATAAACATTTGATAATGTTTTTAACATATCTTGTGCATAATGTGTTAAAAGAACTTAACTATGAGTCGTCGTAAACTTGCAGTAAGGTGTGAGCAATTTCTCCGTATTGAAGGCCTATTTGTGACTTTGAGATAAAGTACAGAATAAAAGCGTACCCCTTTGAATTGGTTTAATTTAAATTACTGTGAAGATGTCGTGTCTAATAAACTTTATGTTTTTCTTGTCCATTGCATGAACCATTTTTTCATTCCTGAAGTGGAAGAATGGGATGTAAGTCTACAAATCTGAAAATCTGATAATAAATGTGAAAATGAAGCAGAGTAAACCAATGCAATGCATGGTTTACTGACTGTTACTTTATAGACTTGGAAATTTACAAATAAACTAACCCTTCGAGAGCACCTACGTGTTTTGTGGACTTTTGTTTTGTTTGTAGTAAAAAAAAATCATACGTACATGTATGATATGCTTTTCGTGCGTAAAATAGGTGTTTTGTCGAGTCAACCCAAACAAAGGCCGTCTATAGTAGTTGGTCGGAGACGTTGTATTTGTTTTAACTATATACATTTTTGTTTACATTTTAAGGAAAAATCTTCCAAGTGGGTCGACGAAAGACGAAAATCATTTAGCTTATGGTGGTGATATCCAGTTCATACTTATGAGGAATAGAAACATGTATCTTATTTCTTGTCCACATAATGCCATAATTGACTTTCATATATTTTAGAACAATAATTAACGGCGTGTTGTTTAAAATCTATGGTAAATTTGAAGCTTTTATTCCAAAGAAGTCATATATGAATTAGATAAGTGTATGTTTTTTTTTTATCTATTTGTTTGTTTTCATTACGATCATATGAAACGTTTACATACACGTACTTGATAACTCCTAGAGGAAAGACGCATTCGTTGTTTGTTTTTTTAAGCTCAAAGTCAAAACGATATACCGAAAACGTATAAATGAACCATATCACTATTTATTTTGTGAGCCTTTTCTATGTCTTTCTCGTAGGGTTCTGTGCTATACTGTGTTCCACAATGACAGCCATTTTGGTTCTGATAAGTAGCATAAAACACACTCATATAGATGATAATGTCATTTATTAAATATTTGATTAAAATGTTCTTTACTAAGACTGTTTTGGTGAAGAAACTATTGGTATAGATTTCGCTTCTATGTTAATTTATGATCTTTGTTTTTGTAAAGGCACCTAAACTCCGAATTAGTAGAGAACAAACTTGATCCGTAATTGTGTTGTAATGTGAGAGATGGTTTCTGAGAAGCTGTATGTTTGTATTTCTCGTAAGGTTTTACTTTGTTCCACTGTTGCTGGCATTTGTTATATCGGTTTGTCAACGAAAGGTACACGAGTATATGATCTACCCAGTATCATATGTGCAAGATTTAATTTAAGTGTATAATATGGTTTTTGAGAAGAAGCTATGTGTATGTAGAATCATTGATGGCCTTGGACTGTTTTCTGTTCATAGGTCGGGTTGTTCTCTCTTTGACACATTCCCTGTTTCCATTCTCTATTTTATTCATTGTTGCATGTTAAACTGTGTTCAATTTTGGTGCCCATCTGAAATTTTGGTGCACATGCCATCTGAAATTTTGGTTGGCAACAAAAACTCCAATATAAAAAGAAGGAGATGTGGTATGATTGCCAATGAGACAACTATCCACTCATGTTCAAATGAAGTGGATGTAAGCAATTATAGACAACCGTAGGGCCTGCAAAAATGAGAAAAACCCATATCGTATCGTCGGCTATAAAAGGTCCCAACATGAAAAATATGAAAAAATTCAATTGAGAAAAACTAACGGCCTAATTTATAACAAAACAACGAAAAACAAATATGACAGACATAAAACAACGATAACCACTGAACTACATGCTCCTGGTTTGGGACAGGCACATAAAGAATGTGGCTGGATTAAACATGTTTGTGAGCGCTCAACCCTAATTGTTTTAGATCATCGACGGATCATTCCTATTACTTTCTAAAATTTGTATGCCATGAGATTCATCAGAAGATATATGAAGATTCCTGAAATTTTTTTGTTAGTTAGCACGAAAGGTTTGGCAGTCACATAACTTGTTCATACAGATATGAATGATGAATAAACAAGGTGAAGTAAGATTTCTTTACTGCTGCTATACATTAATGTTGTCCCGATTATTGGTTCTCAACCTGTTAACAGATCTGTATTTCCTTGCATTAATCAGCTTTTTATAGCGTAAAGCTCCCAAACATACAGCAATGCACACAAATGTAACTGGTATAGGGGCTGATATCTTTACAAGTAGCTGCCTGAAAATATATATTATTGTAATTAGTCACATGTAATTAAACACATAAAGTAAATAATCATAAAAAATAGTAGTTATATACCGAAGGGGTAATCAAGGGGCAATCAAACATCATTAGTCTAAGAAAAACCGACAATACAATGACAAACAAACGAAAAACCGACAATACAATGGCAAACAAACGAAAAACCGACAATACAATGGCAAACCAACGAAAAACCGACAATACAATGGCAAACAAACGAAAAACCGACAATTCAATGGCAAACAAACGAAAAACCGACAATTCAACGAAAAACGACAATACAATGGCAAACAAACGAACCGACAATACAATGGCAAACAAACAAACCGACAATACAATGGAAAACAAACGAAAAACCGACAATACAATGGAAAACAAACGAAAAACCGACAATACAATGGAAAACAAACGAAAAACCGACAATACAATGGCAAACAAACGAACCGATAACACAATGGCAAACAAACAAACCGACAATACAATGGCAAACAAACGAAAAACCGACAATACAATGGAAAACAAACGAAAAACCGACAATACAATGGAAAACAAACGAAAAACCGACAATACAATGGAAAACAAACGAAAAACCGACAATACAATGGAAAACAAACGATTTTAACAAATACTTACACTAATTTTGTTTGAATAATACATCGCTGGCTTTCTTGTTTTGCTCATTGTTGAAGGCCGTACGGTGACCTATAGTTGTAAGCATTCTACGTCATTTAGTCTCTGGTAGAGAGTTGTCTCATTGGCAATCATACCACATCTTCTTATTTTTTATATTAAATTCTTTTAATTACTTCGTTTTAGATTAGAAAACTGTAATTATAAGTGTACTATGTACATATATGTCTGTGAAATTTACTCAAACGAAAATTAACTACGTTCGGGGTAATGTATTGACATACCAACAAGAACAATCTCTGCATACTCTTTCATTATCCGTAGGTGCACATATACTAGTTAAACCAAGAGAAAGAATACCCCATAAAAACAAAAACATCCATCAACAGTGTACTGTAAAATAAGTTAAACTTACCTTTAAGATAAATTATACTAGAACACACCCGCGAGATCGCGGGTTGTGACTGAATTAAAGTATTCATGCCTTATTTTTAGCCTAGATTTTTAGTATTCGTATTGTCATCTGATAAAGTCATGCTGATTGGCAGGTGCAGTTTTCTCGGCTTTCAAAATCTTTTTGTTTGGACCCGTCCTGCTTTTCTTACTACAATAAACTTACTATAAACTTTTTTTTAACAAATTAACCAAAATTAATTAGGGTATTGAGGTGGAAGAAATAGACTTATTAATTAGTGTAACATAGTGTAACATAGATATAAAACAACTACTAGAAGAATTTCAGGTTCTCCTAATAGAGGAGGGATTTACAAAAGGTAACATGAAACTACATGTGACATATACTATTGGTATCGATATCAGATTCGACCCGGAATTTGTTAATTATTGGTAATATCTATTATGTGGGAAACAAAAGGGCCTGGAATGGTGTAATTTTCAAACAACACACTTTCCTATATTAGTTATATATGAAGGTGAACTCTTTGATTCGTCGTTTTTACGTCACGCCGGCTAACAAATTGGACTTCGTTATTTTAGTAGTATAGATACGTTAAAAACATTCTATTTAAGTTGTCAAAAATTAATACTTATTGTTTTAAATGTTCTAAAGTATTTTCATACACTGAAAGGTAATCACGATAAACTACTTAACCCAACGCTTACCAATCTAGAAGACCATTACTACCATTAACCTCCAAACTCGGAGAATATGTTTTCTCGACAGTGGAAAATAACGGAACTAGTGTAGTTGATGTTTTGTTTGTAACCGTTTTCACGTCATTTTTAACCAATGTATTTGGTTCAGTAGCGGTAGACCTCAATGGTTCTGCAGTAATTTGTAATTTCGACAAGAAAGATGTTCTGGTATGACGTGTAACACTGGATGCATCGGTAGGTTTCGGTACTTTCCGCGGAACATGTCTGAAAAAAAAACCATTTAATTTATTATTCTATTGCCTGATGGAAAATCAGTTCTTCATTAACCTTTACTCCAAATGCCTCGATATATATTCTGTCCGTTGTTTAATAGATATAGGAAGATGTGGTATGAGTGCCAATGAGACAACTCTCCATCCAAGTTACAATTTATAAAAGTAAACCATTATAGGTCAAGGTACGGCCTTCAACACGGAGCATTGGCTCACACCGAACAGCAAGCTATAAAGGGCCCCAAAAAAAATTACTAGTGTAAAACCATTCAAACGGAAAAACCAACGGTCTAATCTATATAAAAACGAGAAACGAGAAACACGTATGAACTACATAAACAGACGACAACTACTGTAATGAATGTATAGTAGTTCTACGTAAGGAACTATTATACACATGTTTAATATAAATGTATAGTAATGGAAATTTGTCATATGATGATGTAAATAATATCATATAAGACATATAAAAGTATGCATGTCATGACAACAAAAGTAACGTTTGAGTGAGAAGAACAAATGTCGTGTTTGTCTGTTGGTTGTTGGTCTTTTTCTTTTTTAGCCATGGCGTTGTCAGTTTATTTTCGACGGCTTACGAGTTTGAATGTTCATTCGGTATCTTTAATTTCGCCTCTCTTTTTTATACAGAATTCTGAAACAAAGATAGAATAGTGTGTTTTTAATCATGTGTCAAACGCCCTTACACGACTAAAACATGTGTAAATGATACAGATCTGAACCATATTGACTAAGTTTTGGTCATCGCATACACAATGGTTGCCCATTTCAAAATGCATTGATTTACCCCCTAATAACTATGCTTACAATAACATCATATTATAGCAGTGTTTATATCGGGTAACGCAGTAAACATTCCCTTTTACTTGACAGCAGGATCCTTTCTTGCAGAAATATAAATGATATGTTCCATCTTTTGAAAACGAGCATGTCTTCGAACCTACAAAAAATATAAAGCTAAGTAATGCTGATTATATCAGACATATCACGACTGAAATGCTAATATGCTTTTAATACATATTTTCCCGACATTTTATATTTTTTCTAATATTCAAATATATAAATTTGCAATATAATTTCATCTCTTAACGTAAACATTTTTGCGGGAATCCATTATAATGTTTTTATGGGAATAAATTATAGTCTCTCTCTCTCTCTTTCTCTCTGCTTCCCAATTGTGAACTTTCCATTTCTATGTGGCAGCATTCCTGCAGCGCCTGCAAATGGAGTATATATATTCCAGTTGATACGATATTTCAGAGCTCACATTTCTTATCACGATTCCTTTGGTAGATGTTTGCTGCTAAGATTGAAGCTAATAAATCAAGAGTTCCTAGTGGTGAAGCTGAAATCATCCATTTGAAAATTTTTACGCCATCAAGAGTTAGTTGATCGTTATGAAATATCTGTTTCACAGATGACCGGATATGTTCAAATTTTCGTTACCACAATCCCGTCCTCTTTTCTTCGAATGCGATCTACCGAATTTTATTTATCACCGGGTTGTACTTACATGAACAACACGGCGGGAGCCACAATGTGGAGAAGGGTAACTATGCTTACTGAGATCACACCGGTTTTTGGTGCGGTTCGTGTTGCTCAGTCTTTGGTTTTCTATGTTGTGTTTTGTATACCGTTGTTTGAATTTTGATCGTTTTTAGTTTTTGGCCATAACATTGACAGTTTATTTTTCGACTAATAAGTTTGAATGTCCCTTTGATATCTTTGACCTCTCTTTTCCACTCTCTCACTCTGGTTTTTATCTAGAAAGGTAAGTTTTATGTCGAAATAAAGATACATGCGAAGTGATTTTGTGTTTTAAATTGATACACCATATCTTTTCCATTATATATCGCACATGTATCAATATTATTGAATGTGATAACTTGATATCTCGAAGTAACGAGATAACTATATTTGTCAGGTTCTGTTGTCATATGGATATATGGGATTGTTAATATACCCCATTTTTTAAACGGCCTATATAAAACGATTGGGATGTCCGTACTTTCGACCGTTCGTCCTTCCATCCATATTTTTGTATCTGCTACTGCTTTGGAACCATCGACAGTTCTAGAATTTTGTGAACCTTCACACAACCTCACTCACATGCTATACTTGAGCAGAGATTTTGGCCCAGTGGTTAAAGTTTCGACAAATGATATATGTACATCTTTAGTTTCGATCGACGAACAAACGTAGAAGATTTAAAACACATGACATTGCCAAAAGAAGTAGAACCGAACGCAGCTATGAAATATTAGCAATACAATTATTCTGATATCTATTTCTGATCTAACCCTTCTTAAGCTGTAATCTAGCAAAAGGGTCGTAATGGGGGCACCTTCATGACGAATAACGGTAAAAAATCTTGCCAAATGACGTTAACGGTAATTTTTGGTGCATGACGATAAAATGTACATTTTCTTTATGACGATAAAAAATTTGACTGCCTTTGACGATTCACGTTATTTAAAAAAAAAAATATAACGGTAACGGATAATTATTTCAAACCTCTGACGAATCACAATAAGGATATTTAGACCAATCACGATAAAATTTGAACCAATTTGACGCTAACGGTTGCCGAAAATGACCGTTTGAAGCCTGACGGTAAAAGGCATTCCTACCTCTAACAAAACAGTAATAAAAAAAAAATGTGAATGATATCTGTTCAAGTAAGTACTTACAATGTATTATATTTAATTTGATACTAAGCAGCAATATCCAGATTAATATTATACACTTTTGACAGAATAACGATTTCGTGTGCACCATTATTAATTTGTTACACTTAGTCTAGTTTAATTTGTTGTGAAATGTCTGATATAGGACTTTCCAGGTTTCCTTTTAAATGTTTGACTTTTATACCAGTTATTTATAATTATGATAATTATAATCATGACAAAATTGTAAAAAGGAAGTGATAATGGATAATTGAACGAACATATTATATTTCTTTGCCCCGATTGCGGTGTAAACTTTTAAAATCCAGTACTTTTAACTAGTTCCTTAACTGCTAACAAAGAAATTATCATTAACTTTTGTAATAAAACATATGAAAATAGTGGAATTAACTCTATTTAGAATGTAAAAAAATCTTTGGATGTTTTAGATAAATTACGTGCTCTTGAAGGTCCTTTTACTTGTGGTGTAATGAGATGATTGAGGCTGTTAATTTTCTCCTTGATAACATTTATGTACGTTAAGGCAATACAGTTTATCGACAGGTTGTAGGTATTCATATGTGCACCAATCGCACCCCTTTAATAGCAGACTTGTTTTTGTACTGTTATGAATCACAGTTTATGATCAAACTCAGTTAAGACCCGCCTAATTGCATTTAATTGATAAATTCAATAACACTAATCGTTATCTTGATAATATTTTTCCTTAAATAAAAAACTGCCGAAATTTACTCAAAGGAACTTACTTTAAATCAATCAAATGTAAACTGTAATATATGTCCATTCCTAGATTTGGAATACTCCTGGTTTTCCCACATTCAATTATACCAGTTATCTATAATTAGTAAAGAAAACAAAAAAGACAAAAGGTTTAATGAGCATACAATTGTATAGTCTTTATTTTTATTTGTATAGATAAATAATAAAGAAATCAACTGTTTTGTTTCTCAATAATTTAATATCAATTCAATTAATTCACTTAACATGTGACAAAACAATGGCATCCATTTATAAAAGTGCCTTAAAAATTTGGATTCTTTGGGAATTTATTCTTGGTTTTCATATGTAAAACATGTATAAGAAGAAACAGGTATAAATTTGGACACTTTGAAGAAATATTCCTCACATAAGATAACTAAAACTATAAGAGAATAAATAAAATTAAAATTGAAGCATTTTTATGAAAAGCTAAATTCCCAAAGAGTCCAAATTTTTAAGACACTGTTTTAAATGGATGACATTGTTTTGTCACATGTTAAGCGAATCAATTGAATTGATATTAAATTATTGAGAAACAAAACAGTTGATTTCTTTATTATTTATCTATACAAATAAGAATGGAACTACAAAATGAAAAATACCTGAATATATAGAAAACACAGATAAACTATATACTTATAAAGTTGGAACAGACTATACAATTATTGTATGCTCATTAAACCTTTTGTCTTTTTTGTTTTCTTTACTAATAGATAATTGGTATATTTAAATGTGGGCAAACCAGGATGACACCCTAGATTTAGATATTTCAGTTTTACACGAAAAACTCTACACAAAAATTTACGACAAAAGGAAAGATTTTTCGTTCCCTATTGTTAATTTTCCTTTTTTGGACGGTGATGTTGCTTTGGCACCATCTTACGGTTTTTATATATCACAACTCGTTCGCTATGCTCGTGTCTGTTGTGACGTTTTGGATTTCAATAAACGTAATCTATGTATTACTGGTAAATTATTAAGTCAGGAATTTTGTTTCCACAAATTACATAAAACCTTTACTAAATTCTTCCACAGATACAAAGATTTGGTTTTGCCGTTTGGCTGTACCTGTAGGAAACTTATTTCAAACGGGATCATGGAGATAGCACATCCTAATTTTTACGGAGATTTTAATTACCGAGCCCGGAAATTTAGATACGATCCTGGTAAACTTGTCGATCCTTTTAATAAACTTATTCTAAAAGGTAACCTATTCAACGCTGTAAATAGATCTTTGAATATATGTTTTATTGGTATGAATATTGATTTGGTTTTCGTCAATTAAAATCAAACTAAAAATTATTTTTATATACATATTCACATTCATGACTTTACAATCGTCGATACTTGTATCTTGGTATTGCACAAGGTCATGTTTTTCTCTGATAGTTAATGACGTCTTTACACGAAATACATTGGATGTTGGATATGTACTGATTGGTATTTTAGTCTTAGATGCATGATTTTTTATTAGTTGTTATTGGCTTTGAACTAGCTATCAGTAACTGCGAGTACTCTCAGATCTGTATGCAGTGTCTTTTTTGTTGTGGGGATGTATAATTACCCTGCCACGTCTGGTCTGTTTTTTTTGTTATATGTTTTTCTGTTTTGTATCGATCTAATGAGTTAAGCCCTTTTCAACTGATTTTTATAGTTTGTTCTTATGTTGTACTGTTACACCTCTGTCCCAGGTTAGGGGAGGGATTGGCGCTAACAAACTAGTTTAACCCCGCCACATTCTGTATGTGCCTGTAATTCAGTTGTTGTCGTTTGTTGCTGTATATCAAATTTGTTTTTCTTTCATTTTGTACATAAATCAGGCCGTTAACTTTCTCGTTTGAATTGTTTTACATATGTCATTCGGGACCTTTTATAGCTGACTATGCTGTATGGGTTTTGCTCATAGTTGAGGGCCGTACGGTGACCCATAGTTGTTAACTTCTATGTCATATGTTCCCTGGTGGAGAGCTATCTCATTGGCAATCATACCACATCTTCTTATTTTTAAATGTAATAGATCTTGACATAGAAGATTTTCCAATGTTGGAGTTTTATGTGGATAAGTTTATGTATTGGTCTCGTTGGGATGCTGTCTTATGGACATATAATCACCCGGTATTCATATCTATGTTCCGCGTGAAAGTGAAGTGTTACTATTAACTTATATTTGATATGAATTGTGCATATAACAAAGTGTATATACCAAAGTGCAAAAAACAAAAAGTGTATTACATCAAAGTGCATAGAACAAATTGTATAGACCAAAGTGCATAGAACAAAGTGTATTACACCAAAGTGCACAGAACAAATTGTATAGACCAAAGTACACAGATCAAAGTGCATAGAAAAAAGTGTATAGACCAAAGGGCATAATACAAAGTGTATAGACCAAAGTGCATAGAACAAAGTGTATTAGACCAAAGTGTATAGACCAAAGTGCATAGAACAAAGTGCATAGAACAAAGTGTATTAGACCAAAGTGCATTGAACAAAGTGTTTAGACCAAAGTGCATAGAACAAAATGTTTAGACCAAAGAGCATAGAACAAAGTGTATTAGACCAAAGTGCATAGAACAAAGTGTATAAACCAACGTGCATAGACCAAAGTGTATAGAACAAAGTGTATAGACCAAAGTGTATGGACCTCATCTGTGTTGATATAATTATTGAACACGTGAATCTCCCCAATGTTTTAATTTTTTTCATATCTGACGGTCGCAACTTCATATAAAATAAAATGCACAGTATGTCAGCTGGTGACTTTATGATGCAACACTGACCCTAAGAAACAAAGACTATCATTTTATTTTAGCTATTTTAGAAAAAATACCTTCAAAAGATTTTACCTCGATTTATCAGCACAAGTGGAATATGGCGACTAGAACGGTTACTTATCATACATGTACCTTGTCCTTTTCAAGGTCTATTTTCAGAGTTGTGAGCCCAATATATACTAGTATACAATTTGGTCGTTTTCCGTTTTTTTCCTTCTAAAGTTGGCGTTGTTAGTTAGTCATCGATGTATTAGTTTGAGTATTCCTTTGTTATCTTCCGCCTTTCTTATAATACAACACACAAAACTACATGGGATATAGAATGTGAAACAACTGCTTTAAAATGGGGGTAAGAGCCGTAAGGGTACTGACAGTTAAGTCATTAAAATATAAACATCGTATAAAATATGTAACGAACGAGTTTTTTTATCTTTTCTAAAATTTCAACATCAAAGCTTTATGAACTTCTTTGATATTAGTTTGATATTAAATGGAAATTGGACCAAATCAAAAATGTCATACGATAGATAAAACCTACGTTTTTATACATTTCGTTCTAATTTCAGATTTTCATTGATCGTTGTTTGCTGATGTACTGGGGCAAAAATGTCATGCATATAGGACAACAATAAATTTGAAATTAATCTAAAAGGTACGAAGATTTGAATTTAAACGCTTTATATATCACATCAAGTGGTAACGGTTTCTATACATCAGGCACAGCTAATGGGATTATAGTCATTAGACGGAAATTTAAGAACAATTCTTTCTATACAGAAGAGTACCCCTCTGGGATTCTGATATTGACCAATAAATGGAAATTAGCGCTACCTACTTGAAGGTAAACATTGTAATTTTACAAGAACTATCAACGCAATAATTGTGTTTAATGTAAAATGCTGATATAAGCAACAACAACATGTTTTGGTGTATAATTTTGTGATTCTTTACTACATCCCAAGTATTTTCACAAAAAACGTACCTTTTAATAATAATTCGTTTGAATAAAAAAAATTTATATGCACTGTTGATTTGTACAAAATGTGTCTAATAGCTTACCGGATACATGTTATACTATCGGTGTAAGCAGTCCAATTGCAGTGAACAGACTTAATTGTAATTAAAAAAAATGAAGCCAATAATCTTGTGACAAAGGTCTATCTTTGTGATCATAATGACCAATTTTACTGCACAAGTAGATGTGCATTTCGATGTAATAAATGCCGCATCAGTGATGCTGGAGGTCAAAATATTTAAAAATCATAACTGAATAGAACGTTGTAGACCTATTAATAATCGAAAAGTACCAAAAGTATTACCAAAGTCGGCCAAGAAATCAGATAGAGCTACACGTATACACGAGGACGATACATTCCTGAAGTTGTGCATGTATAAAGATGATAATTTCAAATATTTTCAATAAAGTTTTATCCTTTGATCTTTTAATCCGAACTTGATGGTGTAGCTATTTTAAACAATTAAAATGAAATATTAATTTAAAAAAAACAAAACATTAAAATATATAAAAAATACACTTATGTCAAGGATTTCCTTATTTTATATAGGAAACAAATTTCTGTTTTCAAA